ATCTGACTGGTACAGTAGGAGATTGTCCCTCCTTCTCCAGCAGAGCATCTGGTGGATTTCAACTGAGTACCTCTGGGATTGCAGTGCAGCTTCTTGCCACTAGGCCACCAGAGCTCCCTTTCAGTAAAATATTTTTAATAAATAAGATGTGTGAAGTGCTTCTCATTAACTTTGCTATCCCATGCTTTTCTTACTTACATCTTGCCAATTTGGGCTTTCCAAGATCCTGAATACCCATCTGGGTCATATGTTACTTACATATCCATCCAAAGGCAAGAGTCTAGAGAAAAGTCTTAGGTGGAGAGAACCCCTTGGCATTTTGTTATTAATCATGTATTGTGTAGATGGTCATGAGTGGGACAGGCAGCATGTAGAAACTGGCCCTCCCCCTCAAAATTTCCACTCTGTGGGACTATGAGGAAGACCCACTGATTATCCCTATTATGCACCATATATGGTTTACAACCATAAACCACATGATGGAAATATACCCGCAATCTTGCTGATGGTGAAAAACCAGATAATATTCTGTTGCATTATCAGGTCACTCTGAGTTAGCAGTGAGTCAATGACAGCTATTTCTCTCTAGAAGAGAAAGAATCAGTTCTTTTAAGCCTTTTGTGCAAGTAATACAGTGATAGAGTGTGTTACTTCTTGGGCTGCTGAAAGAAAGGTCCACTGTTGGAACTAACTGCTTTCAGGAAGAAATATCGGAGAGTCTGTTCCCATAAAGCTGTGTTGTTGTTGTTGTTGATTGGCGTTGTGTTGAGGTCGACTCATAGTGACTCTAAGAACAAAAGACCTAATGCCTTTCCATAGCTATGGTTATTCCTCCAACTTCATAGAGTTTCCAGAGGCATATGGTTTAGAAAGTGGATGCCACACCTGCTTCCCAATCTGTTTTACAACTTGGAGCTCCACCCAACACTTTCTACGATGGGAAACCGTTCTGGTATTTGAAATCCCCATGGCACAAAGTTCAGCATCATAGTAAACCCAGGTTACCTCATACAACACATTGACAAAGGATGTGCAAAGTTGAAGAATATTCCTCCAGATAAACAGCACTAGTCTCATTTAGCAGTTAAGTGTTGTTGAGTCAAATATGACTCAGAGTAAGCCTTGCACAAAAGACCTGAACTCTGTTCTATGATTAACATCATTTCTGTACATTTATAAGACAGTTTGTAGAGTTTCTAGAGGCATCTACAGTCTCAGAAACCCAGTGGAGGCTCCCTGAGCTACAATTTACTCAGTAGCAGCAGTTTGGGTCTTTTGGATTGTGTTTGTTTTTTATAGCCATCCAGTGATAACTCACCCATAGTTGACCCTATAGCTTTCAGAGGCTATAAATAGCACAAGAAAGGTTTGTCTATCTTTCTCCTGTGGAACGGCTGGTAGACTTAAAATCACTTGTCTTTATGCTGCAGGAGAACTACACAATTTATAAAGTTGAGGTAAAAATAGTTTTATTTTCTGGGACATGATTGACTTGGTCATATTGAGTAGAGGTGACCAGAAAGGAAAAGTTTATTTTTATATGTTTAGAATTTGAGCTATGTACATTAAAATTTTCAATGTCATTCTAAAACAGGAAAACTAATACATGTATATGGCTGGATTACCACTGGAAGGTTACAAACCTTTGATTTTGATGCTGAGTACATTGATGGGTAAGTGTGTGTATATTTCTTTCACTTTGAAAATAGTTGTAAATATACCACATTGCCTCTTACGATCTACTTCCCTGATAGCATTGAATTGTAAGAGGCTAGTGTTGAATTGCTGTTTTCATCTTTGTAGTTTGTGGTTGCTGGTGAGCAAGGCATCAGCACACTTGCTAATGTAATTGTGACTGGTCAATTAAATTGGTCAATTTATTTACTGGTAAATAATCTCTCTGCCTGAATACAGAAAAGAGTGGTTATTTGTGTTTTATTGACTATGCAAAGGCATTTGTTGTGTAGATAATTACAAATTATGGCTTACATCAAGAAAAGTGGCAATCCCAGAACACTTAATTGTGCATATGTAAAATCTATACCTAGGCAATGAGGCTGCTGTGTTAACAGAGCAAGGGAGCAATGCATGGTTTAAACTCAGGAAGGTTATGTATCAGGGATGTATTGTTTCTCCATATCTATTAACTCTATATACTGAGCAAATAATTTGTGAAACTGGACTCTTTGAAACAGAATGTGGCATCAGGATCTGAGGAGGACTCATCAACAACCTGCATTATGCAGATAACATAACCTTGCTTGCTGAGAGCAAGAAGAACTTGAAATACACTCTGCAGAAGATCAAGAACTGCAACCTTTGGTATGGATTACATATTAACATCAAGAAAAGGTCCTCACTATGTGGCCAATAGACAACATCATGATAAATTGTTAATGTTTTCATCTTCCTTGAATCAACAATTAACACACTTGGCACCAGTAGTCAGGAGATCAGAAGACATATTGGCTAGGGCAAGTCTGCTCTCCAGAATACTTAATAGCAGTGATGTCAGTTTAAAACTAAGATGCACTTGATTCAGGCCATGGTCTTTTCAATCATTTGCTATGTATCTGAGAGCTGGACGATGAATTAGGATGACAGAAGAAAAATTGATGCCTTTGAGTTGTGTTGCTGGAGAAGAGGACTGCTCATCCCATGGACTGCCAAAGAAACCAATAGATAAATGTCTTGAAAAAGTGCATCCAAGAGCACTCCTTGGAGGCAAAATTACAAATATCCATCGGTCATATTTTGAACATGTTGCTAGGAGAGGCTATTCCTTGGAAACTAGCATCATACTTGGAAAGAACACTGCATGGTTCAAAATTGGGAAGGGTGTATGCCAGGGATGTGTCCTATCTCCATACCTTTTCCATCTATATGCAGAACAGATTATCCGGGAGGCTGGGCTGTATGAGGAGAAATGTGGCATCAGGATTGGAGGAAGATTCAACAATGTTCATTATACAGATGACACAATCCTGATTGCTGAAACTGAGGAGGAACTGAAGCTCTTGTTGCAGAAGGTCAAGGACTGCAGTCTTCAATATGGATTTGAAGCTCAACATCATTAAAGATTCTCACTACTGAGCCAATTGGCAGCACCATGATGGATGGTGAAGAGATTGAGACTGTTAACACATTAGTTTGCTTGGCTCCACAGTCAACACTCTTGGCACCAGTAGCCAGGAAATTAAAAGACATATTATGATGGGAAAGTCTGCTGTTAGAGATTTTTCCAAAGTACTGAAGAGTAATGGTTTCAATCTGGAGACTCAGGTGCACCGGATACAGTTCATGGTCTTTGCAATCACTTGCTATGCGTCAGAGAGCTGGACAATGACTAGAAATGATAGAAGGAGAATTGATGCCTTTGAGCTGTGGTGTTGGAGAAGAGTATTGTATATACCATGGACTGCTTAGAAAATGAACAGGTTCAACCTAGAGAGGGTTAAAGAAGTCCTTGGAGGCAAGGATTCTGAAACTTCGTCTATGTTGCAAGGAGAGAACAATCCTTGGAGAGGAATGTCATGCAAAGGAGGGTGGAGGAAGACCATCTATGAGGTGGATTGATTCATTGACTGAGTACTCGGGTAGGTGTGTCAGAGACAGTGAGATTGGCACAGGATAGAGCAGGGTTTAGGGCACACAACAATAAAAACAACAACAATAACAACAACTTGGAAAGATGAAGGATCAATGAAAGAGAAAGAAGCCCAATGAAATAGACTGACACAGTGACTACTGCAAAGGTCTCAAGTGTATCAGAGATGATGAGGATGGCACGGAATAGGATAAAGTTTAGACCCTGTTCACAGGATCTTTATGAGTTGTATTCAACGTTGACAGTACCTACCATAACCAACAATCATGCTGAAGGACATTCAGGTGGTGTAGTCAGTAGGAAGTGGTACTGTTAACCTGATAGGTTGTACCTCTCTAGTAGTTTAAATTCACTCACTCCCCCATGGGAGACAGATGGGCAATCTCCTCCTACTTTATCTACTGCCTTGGAAACCCACTGAAGAGTCAGCTATGAGTTGATTCAGATCCAATGGTAATAGATGCAAAGAGGGACAGGGAGAGAAAGGGAGTTGCTCTGGATTCAGTGTGAATTATATGGTAATTGCATCTGTCAATTTTTCTTTTCAATTCTTAATCTTCCTCCCTTTTTTCCCAGACTGCAGTAAGTTATTTGTAAAATAGTGCCTAACACCAAAAGTGTATTATAACTTTCCTTTCTGGGTTGTTATTAATTTGTGGAGTTAGTTCCATTAATTTGTGGAGTTAATTCCATTAGTGTGAGAGAGGCAAGTATGGAAGCAGGGAGTGAAAATCATTGAGAACGTATGGTCTTCTGGAAATGGTTTGGTTGTCAGCATAACTTTTCTCTGAGATTTTAAGTGGAAGTAGTACTGTTAAATTATGCATGGTAGGGGAAGAGGGGGGAAAGAGGGGCAATGTTAAATGTGAGCCTTTCTGGAAAACTCTAAGAAGCTGTGGTTATTCAATATAAAGCTCGTTAAAGCAGATGTAGAAGTCAAATAGGAACATATTCTGACTGTATGACTAGGTGAGTAGATTCTATGCACTGGCTCTAACTTCTCATCATGCCTAGAAGGAGGGATATGCCCTTCTATTCTGCTCCATCTTTCTGGTTCTATCTTCATTAAAGAAATTTGATTTGACTACTTTCAGAATTCACTTTTTTGTCATTAATTGTCCACTTCTCTTAAAAAGTAATTACTCTTCCTGTAAAGAATAGAAGCCCCTAATAGCCCTTGATATGATGCTATGTTTACTGCTTGGTCTTGTCTCAGCAGTGGTCTGGGATAAACCAAAAGCAAAGCAAATCCACTACCATCAAGTACGTTTCAACTCATGGTAACCCTACATTGAGTTTCTGAGGTGTAAGTCTCTATAGGATAATATCACTCAACTTCTCCCATGGAAAAACTAATTGATTTGAACTGCCTTTGAAAGGGAAATAAAGCTATGAACTCTACAGTTGCTCTCTGTAGATTTAATATCACCAGTGTGAGGATGTTAAAGATTATTATTATTATTTTTTTGTATGGAGGAAACCCTTCCTGTATAGGGTGCACTGTGATAAAATGCTGTACACACTTATTCTCAGGCTGGGCTTTGACTCTAAACCTCTTTAGGGATACTTCCTGAGCTTTTGCAGCATTGCAGTGTTACTGAACACAAGCGGTTCTTTCCGTAGTCAACTGCCAATAAGACAGACAGATTGCAATATCCATAAGCACTTTATCACAGATATGGGAGAAAGCAGTGAGATCCTTCTCAGAGACTGCCTGATTATGACATTTTTATACTAGGGGCAGATATTAACTTACTTAACAACACATTTTTGTTAGTAAAGTTACAGAATTTCTACATTTGAAAAGAACAGTTCATATGTAAGTACTAGTAATTTAGGAAAGACACAATTCTCTTCCTGGTAAACAGGAGATTAAGATACAATTTACTCCTGGTAAACAGGAGATTAAGATACAATTTACATATGACTGAGAAAAACAACTTCAAAAGGTAAACACTGATCTAGGAAAGATGCATTTCCTGTCCTGGTAAACAGACAGATTAAACTATATGACTAAAGAAAGGAAACACATTCCAAGGCAAAGTAACTAGTTTTGCAGGCTGGAGAGAACAGATGTCAGTTTTACAACTATATATCTATAGTTTTATAATTGGTATATATTTAGAGAATTATGCACTTATTAATACCACCTCATCAGCAGTGTTTCCTCTGCAGTTTGTCAGGAAAGTTCGCTGGAAACATTGCCTTATTATGTTCCTTTTTCTGCTTTTACCCAGTCCATTGATATTGGAAGCAACCGGAAACATGTGGTTCACTCCTTGCTCTCTTGTAAACAGGACTGCAGGAAGTTGGTGAGTTTCTTTTCTTTCCAACAAATATGCTTTTAGCCTCTTCCACAAGGGCACAAAATACATACATGTCTTTTTTAAAAAAATTACTGTTTGTCCATAGTTTCAACTGTCTTAACTTTAAACTTACTGGGATAGATTAAGTATTAATTAAAAATGCAATTTTAAGTAAATATTGCAAACAAATAATTGATACTACTGTTGCACACCATGGAGTTGGAACCAACCAATAGCTGACCTTCTGGCTGGTAATCACACGGGAGAAATTGCCCATCTTTCTCTCGCAGAGAAGCTGGTGGCCTCGAACTGTGTGCCTTTGGGATTGCAGCACAGCTTCTTGCCACTAGGCCACCAGAACTCCCTACTTATTAAGTCTTTACTATAGACCAAGCTATATTTAAATCACTAATAACTCTGTGGATACACAGGGTCATCGTTCCTATTTTACAGATGAAGAAACTGAGGTACAGAAATGTTTAGTGATTTTCCCAAGGTTTCATAGGGTGTAGGTGGCAGAGCTAGGATTTGATTGGCAGCTTAACGAGCCCACATCGTTTGTGCTCATAGTCAATTTATTATAATGACTTGCCTGTGTGTGTATATAGGTGTGGCTTAAAAACAAAAGCACACATTCAGTTTAGGTAATATTTTTCTGATTTTTCTTATCATTCTAGATTAGATAGATTTGACTTTGAAGCAATTATAAGATTTACAGCCTATGTTATCTCAGTCATAAAAAGACAAATACTGCATAATGCCACCGTTATAAAACAGGACTGACATGGGGGTTGGAGGGAAACTAAGAAAAGAGGGGATAAATAATGAACACTGCATTGGAAAAGGTGAAGGAAAGAACTGTTTAAAAGGAATATATGGGTGCAACCACTATGGAAGGCAGTATAGAACTTTCTCCAAAAGTTTGAAATAGAAATACCATTTGACGCAGCAATTCCACTACTGGGAATATACCCTAAAGAAACCAGAACTGCCACCCAAGTAGATATATACACACCCTTGTTTATTGTTGCTTTGTTGACAATAGCAAAGAGTTGGAAACAACCCAAGTGTCCATCAATAAATGAATAGATAGAGAAGCTGTGGTATATTCACACAGTGCAATACTATGCTGCATTGAAAAACAGTGAATTAATGAATTATACAAAATGAGAGGATGTTATGCTAAGTGAAATATCTCCATCACAAAAGGACAAATATTGCTTAATGCCACTGTTGTAAAACAGGAGTGATATTGGGGTTGGGGAACTAAGAAAAGAGGAGATAAATAATGTATACTGCATTGAAACAGATGAGGGAGGGAACTGTTTAGAAGGAATATATGATTAGGTATTATTATCATAACAAGAGTCCAGAATGAAAGCTGCACAGTGGAGTGGACTGGGGGGGGGGCAGTTGGGGAATTGTGTAACAATGAAGGAATTTTTTCTTACTTTTCAAAGAGAAAAGCGAACTGGAGAAGAGTGGGCAGGGAGGAAAGTGCAACAATGAATGAATGGAAATCCAAAGTCTCTGTAAACTTTCATTAAAATGAATAAATAAAAAGGAATATATGCTTTGGCATTATTTGCATGACAACAGTCCATAATAAGAGCTGCATTACAAAGTGAACTGGGGAAAGGGTGGAGAGAGAGAGATGAAATCATGCAACGGTGCATGAATAGTTTAAGAAAAAAGTGAACTGGGAGGTAGAGAGGAAAATGTACAACAATGAATGAATGAAAATTCAACTTCTCTGTAAACTTTCCTTAAAGTTACAATAATAAAAAAGTTTGACAATGATAAAAAAATTTACAGCCTATGTTTAAGACTATAATTTATATTTTATACCTGTTAACAGATTTTCCCCTTCTTTATTACTGATTTTTAAAATAAATGTTTTACTACACTTGTCATATAACATTTTAAAAAGAAAAGACTAGATAGAAAGTAGGAATAAATTATATTTCATCTTTCATATTTTATGTTCAATTGATGGTTGTTGTTATGTGCCTTTGAGTCGACTGTGACTGCATAGTCACCCTATGTATATACAATAGATCTGAACTCTGCTCTATCTTCAGCCAGTCTTACCCTCAATGATAAGTTTGTTTGGTTATCTAACTCTGCCCCAATGAGCTTCAAATGCCCAAGCTTCTATCAGTTTACCCTTGTTAATTTATGCTATTTTATTTTCTTATTTTACACTCTGAACAGTCAAACCTTGTGCATTGTGTTGTCTGGTAATTCTTATCTCAGTGTTGTATGTTCTTTTCTTAGCTACTCTGTTCAGGAAGACCATGGCCTGGGGACTCTTCAGTGCCGTGTAGAAGGCAGCTACATCGGTCTGTTGGAGGAGTATCATTATTTTAAAGTCCTATTTATGCCTGTCTGCCACTTACAGTCTGTGTATTTAAAAAACTTCAGGAATTGATATTCATGATGTTGATAATAAGAAATAACATTAGTTAAGGACTTTCTGAAAAACACAGTGTGATGCTGTTTATATATTATGCTCGAGAAACTGGGGAGTCAGAGAAAGAGAGGAAGAACCTCAACAAGGTGGATTGACACAGTGACTATAATTATGGTTTCGAGTGTATCAGAGATGGTATAGTATAGGGGAAGGTTCTGTTGTTCACAGGGTTGCTGTGAGTTAGAGTTGACTCAGTGGCACCCAACAACAACAAGTACAACCTTCATCATAAACCTATGAGATAAGAGGAGTTATTTTTATTTTATACAAGAGGAATTGCATTGCTAACCCAAAGGTATGTGGTTCTAATCTACCAGCTGCTCCATGGGGAAAAGATAGGCCATCTTCTCCTATGTAATTTACTGCCTTTGAAAACCCACTGGAGGGCCAACTATCTGTCAGTTCGGACTCAATGGCAGACCACAACAGCAATATGTAGTGACTTCTAATTTGTCCTACCACTTATATCCTTTTATTTACAAAGTCCGCAAGTGCTGATGGTGCTGAACTCAAGGGCTGTTTATCTGAAACCAAATCTCCAACCAACCATTTCCATGGATTTGACTCTGACAGTGGTCCTCCCTCAGTTTCTGAGGCTGTCAATCTTAACAGGAGGGGACTGCCTATCTTTTTTTGTTGCAGAGCCAACAGTGGCTTAGAATCACTGAGCATTCACTTAGCGGAACGTGCCAAGTACTCCTCTACCAGGGCTCCTTTTATTTGGGACACTGTTAGGGAATGATAGGCATGGAGGCTGACTCCATGGTACCATTGGGTTTATGGTAGTAGTGGCCTGGTATAGGTGATTCATGTACTCTGCTTCTTTTTTGTTTCAGGCTCCCAGAATGTTAGCTTCTCAGTATTTAATAAAGGAAAGTAAGTAACTAGGAGTATGAAAATTTGTCTTCACTTTATCTGTCTTTCTCATTTTGATTTATTTTCTCTAACCATTTTTCAAATGAAAGATTTCAAAAGTGCATAAATAGAATACTGTAATAAAACCCATGTACCTATTTGACTTCTTTTACTTGGCTGCATGTTATTGTGTTCTCATACTGCATCTACAGATATGATGCAAATATTTCAACATGACAATGGCACAGAGCTTTGGAAATGACCTTCTAAGAAATATTATATTGTAAATGTAGAACTGTCTCATGTGAAATATAGTTTCATAAAATGTACTATATAATTTAAGCTCCCTTCAAGATGAGAAAGGCCCAAATTTTATAAAGCTTTGGAAATGTATATATAATTTTTGAAAAAATTCATTTTATTACAATTGTTTTTAAAATCAGCAGACTTTGACAAATATTTTAAGTAAATCTTTACTACGTCAAATTTCCAATATGTAAAGTACTATAAATTAGATAAAAATTCACCTCAAGGACAAGATTCTAAATCTAATCACCTGTAGGATAGCTTAGTTTCAACATTTTGCATTTATATCTAAATCTGGGGAGCTCTGGTGGCTTAGTGGCAAGAAATTGCATTGCAATCTGGAAGTCACATGGTTTGAGGCCACCAGAAGATCTGTGGGAAAAGGATGGGCAATCTCTGTCAGTGTGATTAGATTAACTACCTCTGAAAACCCGCTGAAGGGTCAGCTATGGGTCAGTTCTGATTCTACAATACTTAACAACAACATATGTCGTAAGACTTACCATTGTTGTTAAGTGCCGTTGAGTTATAGATGACTCAGAGCAACCCTATGAACGAAAGACCTGATCAATTGTATAACTTTCATTGTTTCTCCAAGTTCATAGTGTTTCTGGAGGCAAGCTATTTCAGAAGTGGATGCCACTCCTGCTTCCAAGCTTGTTTTAATTGGGAGCTGCACCAAACACTGTCCACCATGGGTAACCATTCTCACATTTGACAGATCAGTGTCACAATGTTCAGCATCACAGCAACCACGCATTACCTCTGTACAGCAAATGGACAGGCCAGTGCAATACCGCTTAGAAGAATTAGACTTACCATTACTATATGGTAAATATAGTACTATGCCCTTTCACAATATTTCAATTACTATTACATGTAGTATTATATCACATTACATTAACCTATGGAGTAAGTAAAATTATTTCCATATAATTTACAGACCAGAAAACTAATTATGCTCATTGGTATTGTTTTCTAATCATCACTGGAAAATGGTATCCAAAAAAATCATTAGATGTTCATGATTTTCCTATGAGGCAGCCAATTTAAAGAAATGCCACCTCATGGATGTTGCTGTCTTAATCCCAACACAACTTAATTTTTTTAATACTTCATCTTTTTTGAAGGTCAACGGTACACAAGGATGCATGGATGATCAGTGCCAAACAGGACCTTTTCCTGTACCAGACACACTCAGGTATTATTTCCCTTCATACAGGACTCTTCTCCCTCACATCTCATCCAGCATTGGATATCTCCCTCCTCCCTTCTAGCCACTTTTCCATAATCATTGACACCTTAAGTGCTGTGAGCTAACTAACTGTCCCAGTAAGCATGAGTGGCCTTTGATATGGGTAAAAAATATGCTGATTGTATGAGGCTCAACACATACACACACACACACACACACACACACACACACACCCATCCCCACTGAGTTGACTCGTAGTGACCTTGTAGGACCAGTTAGAACTGCTCATGGGCTTCCAGGGCTGCAAATCTTTGTGGAAACAGACTGCTTCAACGTCCTTCTTGGAACAACTTAGAGATTTGAACTGGACCTTGTGGTTAACAGCTGAGGGTTTTATACACACTGTCACCAGGTTCTGTGACATTACTTTCCTTTCTCCACCCCATAAAAACTAATCCTTCATATTTTATATTTTACATGAACAGAATCTTTTTCATTATGTACATTTTAAAAATTTTTATTAACCAAAAATAA